TGCAAACGGTTTTTATAAGATTTTGATTTTTTTTTTTCAAAAACCTGGCTAGCTTGGGTAAAATATCAACACGTATTCATAAACTACACGTGTTGAAGAATGTTATTTTATACAATTTAAAGCCCATTTATTATGTACAATTTTGATAGCGCACTGTTGGTGGGGATGATTAGATACAGTTGGGTTAGCGTTTCACCATCTACATATGATATTCGTAGTACACGCATTTAAAATTTGATAACAATCGGTCTGGTAGTTTCGGAAATTATCGGTCTAATAAAAATCCACATGGACAGAGGACTGACAGGCAGACGGAAACTATTCTGTTGTACTCTAGAGGTCATAACCCATCGAAAAAATATAAAAGTAACCAGTTGCCCAATACACTCGATTACAATACATACTTCCTTTTTTTTTGAAAATTTTAAGCAGTTTTTGTCAAAACTCTGACAGATCTGAAGGTTACTACAGTTATCTTTCTTACAATTACAAAATCATCCGTGGCATCTATGAATGCGTCTTTTGGATCACATTTCGATTTTTTTGTAAAAATACAAAATCATAGTCGTACACAACTGACCAACAACAAAACAATTTACAAGAAACATGACTTTAATTTAAGTGTATAAAATACAAAATTTTATAAAAATTGAGATTCAGCGAAATCTTGGAAATTTAAACAACGTAAAAAGTGCATATACAAAACCAAGAAACTACAAAAACGTAACAAAACAAAATAGCAAAGATAACAACCAGGAGCACAAAAAGTTACTTCTAAAAGATGGCGTGATTGTCGGGCATATTTATGACGGTCAATCAAAGATCTATGTCACAGTCTATGTTTTTGTCTATGGTTTAGGCTGTCGGCTGTCTGCCAATCCCTTGTGAGAAAAACATTACTTAGAGTGCTATTGAAATAAATTTGTACAGTAAAATTGTATTCAAAGGTTTCTTTTTTTTTTGTTTGGCTTTATTTACAACCAACAACATACTGTAGTTTCAAATATTTTTCTTATTTTGCTGTTGGGTATTACTGGTTGTCTAAAAGTTGGAAATAAAGCATGAAATAAAATTTAATTTTGGGAGTGTTTAAAATAAACTTTATTTAAATTTACAAAAATTATTCAAAACGCCCCCCATCATGTTCTAAACAAAATCGAGCCCTTCTCTGCATGTTTTCAAAAAGTTAATTTAACATCGAGGTGACATGGCCTGATAGACTTCAGTAGCAACATCTTTAGTTCATTCATGTCAATAAGGAGACTTGAAACCGTTCTTGAAAGCATGTGATTGTTGCGAGCCCTAGCATCATCTTGTTGAAAGAATCCTCGGTGCAGTTCTCATCATCCAGTTGATTTATGGATTGTTCTAAAATCACCCATCGATATCGCGCTGAATTTATGGTTGTTTCGAAATTGCGTATGAGACGTCTCCACCCAAATATACCAAGTTTTTGAGGATGCGAACCAGTTCCTTCGAATTGATGACGATTTGCAACTACCATATCCTCATATTTTGGGAATTTAAAAAGCCATACAAATAAACGACATAAATAATGTAAATACACATTGAAAAACATTTAACATAACCAAAAAAAAATCTATTTACAAATTAACAAAAATGTATAATTAAAATTAATTGATGTAAAACGCTTGAGTTACTAGATGAATGTTAAATATTAACTGGATCACATCTGGAAAAGGAGCATCTGGGCACAATAAAACTTGATTTGTCCACGTTTAAAATTTGGTACCAAGAAATCCATCAATCACATTTGGTACTTGATTTGATTGAAATGATTCGTTGTTGCCAACTTAAATTTGCGTGCTGACAAATATTACAACTTTTTCACTTGGTTGGTACCACTGAATTGACGGCCATCTGAGTCGTACAAAAGGTCTATTCTTTGACAACACATTTATCCTATCAACACTGTAGTCTGTGAAATATAATTCTACAAAAAATCGCTTAGCACAAAAGTTGTTGACTCTTTGACTCCCAGTTAAATAGATCTTTTAGCAATAGTTATACAGAATATTGTAAAACGTATTGTTAATTATTGTGTTTCACTATATATACTTAAAAAACAAAATTAATTTACACTTCTTTAACTATATATTTTTTCCACAATTAAATACACATTTTTTCTTGGCTTTTTCTTCTTCATTTTCCATTTACCCTGATTATTATTATTTAACTTGAGGAATGATTAATTTTTTACTTTCTTGACGTTTCATATCACGTGAGTATGAAAAAGTGGGTCGTTTCTTGTAGCCATTTTATTCCACACATATAATTTCCAAAAAAAAAATCCTGATAGTTTAGATAAATTTTAGAAATATTTTATAGACGATAAAAAGCTAATCAAACTTTAACTTAGAAACTGTGGTGACCGAATTTAAATCAAAATTTTCGGACTGAAATTAATTAACAGCGGCGCGAAATCACACTTGGATAATTTGAATTTGAAAGAAAAAAAATTCAATCACAAAAAGAAATCGTTAAACACAGGCAACCTGGTGCACGGAAACGCTTGCTAGGTAGTCGGACGGTTTAGGGGTTATTAGTTGGAGGGTTGGTGTTTAGACAAAAAGGGCAGCATGGCGTAACGTCAGTCTCAATGTGCTTGTGTGAGTGTAAACACGTGGTACGAGCTAGGTTTAAATTAGTTGGTTTGGTAGTTAATAAAATGGGAGGAAGCCTTTGTTTAACGACAATCAATCGTAGCCAACGTCACTCAGGTGTCCCCAACCCGCGCTGTTAATCCTTGTGGCCCTTTAATCGAAAATTTGCGGACTTCCGTTAAACGCGAAACATGTGCTGTAAATTTGTTTTATTGTTTGAAAATTCACCAATCAAGTTAGTTTTACTTAATCATCAGCTAGTGCAAACACAATTTAACAATCAGGATTATTTAGATAAACCACTTGCTAGAAGATTTCATGAAATTCACTTAGTCAGGAAAACACCTTGTTGTTTAATTACGAATAGGTTTCTCGATGCATATACGTAAGTGTTACATTATAACAATTCTTGATTCTTCACACAAGACTGCTAACAGTTCATTTACGGCAGTTAAACAAGTTCATTATATTGCGAACTGGCGGGGGTTATGATAATTTCTTCCCTTAGGTGGTTATCATCGTTATCATGATTAATTAATCGAGGCAATTCCTCGCAACGAGACGCTTTTTCCCTCGGAGCGATGATTGGATATTTTTGTGTTTGTTTATTATGTGTTTTGTTGGGGTAACCAGTTCGCGGTATTTCAAACTCTCAAAGTAAATTGTTTTTTTTTTTAAGTAACCAATCACTTAGAAACTTAGATCATGATATAATTTGACATAATGTAAACTCTTTGTTTGAACCGTTGATAAAGTGTGGCAAATATTAATCTCATGTAATTTTTGTTAACTTTGCAATTTTCCACCTCATGCAATATTTCTCAATCTCACAGTTTTAACTTCAGTAATTTTATTTGTTGTATAATTTTAATTGAACGTAAATTTTATAGCCCCTAGAAATACATAGTACCGTCATCCATTGTTGTACGAGTGGAGCAAATGCAGTTGATAACGCAAAAAATTCCCTTGGTTTGGAAAAAAATTGTGTCAGCAGAGAGTTGACAGTGTGTAAACCGTTGTTGTCACGTGGCCTTGGCGTGGTCTTTTTGTTTAAAGTCAATTAATTGTCAATTAATATAACTAATAATCATTAAATAAGATTTTATTGATTATATTTTATATTTTATTCAAATTAAAATTCCATATTTTGTATATAAACTACAAACTTTAAATCCAACACAAAAACCATTTTAAATTTCGCGGTCTGTCAAATGGTGTTTATAATTTTTGTTTTTGTTAAGTTTCCGCCAGGTTTGCTCCACGGTGACGATACTAACTATGTGTTTTCTAGGGGCTATAGTAAATTTCATGTTCTACAGTTTTAACCTCACATAATATTTCTATTTGTACAAGTTTATTTCATACCAGAACTTTTGTTTCATAAATCCTTGCTAAGTTTTGTTTTGTAAATACTTTGTTGATGAATGCTTCTATCATATAAATTGTTTGATGTCCAATTTTTATCTCACATAAGAATTATTTGTTGGTTAAATTTTCACAAGATTGTATGGCGAATTTAAATGTTCTTTATTGCTCGTTGAAACTTAAACACTTGTTTAGTTGTTGTTAATACCAGAGTTATAAGAGATTGAATATTTAAAAATTGAATTGAGGTTAAATAACACAGAAAACGTGGTAGAAGCGAGTTCGGTTCCTAGTCGAGCTGGCGAGATTGATCGCGTCACCTGCACAAGTCCGCGGATTTGTATAGAGTCAGGGGGCGATCGCCGGTGTAGTAACACTGTCGGCTTCGTGCTAACCGAGACCCAACTACGGATCTGCCATCGTAGCGGCCTAATTTCGCAGGGAACGTTCGTAATGGAGATATGCGTGCGGATAGGCTTTGTGGTAGATAGAATCACCGTCGTGGAGGGAGAACAGCCCCAGACCGGTAGCCTCAAACTCCGCTTATGCTAGAATGCCCAGAGGTACTCTTGTTGTGCTCCTGTTAACTGCCGTAACTTTACAATACTATTCCTGATTTTTTCCCGAGTAAAATAATCCTACTTCTGAAGAATGCATTGAGGGGCAATGTATGGGCTTATTTCCGAACAATATCAAACTGGCTAATACCGACTACTGCCTTCATCGTTTGTTAGATGCTCTCTTACCAGATCTACATAGGGCCATTATAGATCTAAAACACGAAACAAAAAGTTTCAAGAAGTACATCTTCTTATTGCTTCCAAAAACTTGACGATGTCATCTCAAAAGTTGGCTTGATAACTCATTTCCAAAATTCGCAAATATTATGCGTCTATTTCGTAATTTGTTAATTTACGATAGCTATTCTTCATACTTATGACTTAAACACGACATTCGTATCTCATCTCTAGTTAACTGGACATAGCTATAAAAATTCTTTGCGACGTTTTATTACAAAATTACAAATAAATAAATTAATGTAACACCCATAAGCACATGGAGAGTAATTCTGATTTCATGAAAACAAAAACCTGCTGAAAAACCTGCCATCGCAATGACCGACATATGTTGGTCACCTATAACTGGTGCACAGTCATCATGTCTGAAACATAATCAGTTACCACTATAATTAATTTTTTAACGTATCTACAAATACGATTGGCAGATTCCATATTTGAAATAACCTCCATCGCCCCAACCAGAACCCCACGAATTAGATGCGATCCAAAAAGTTTTCCCATCTTTTTTTCCCCAACCACATATCCTCACACCATGATAATAGCCAGAACGATAACTGTTTCCACGATCATATTCTGGATAATTTCCGTCTATTGGAAAACCATCAATTGCTACAAATAAATGCGTTTATGGAACTATTCTGCTACATTGCATCCTTAATGTTAGCTGAATACTTTGTTTGTACAAAGCGGTATTATCACTTGCAATCAACCAAATCAACGAATGGTTGTTTATTTTTCTTATTTAAAGTTTACAGTGAAGCATTTAAGAGAAATAAATGCTCGCTTATTGCAACAGGAGCCAGCACTTTTGCAGTAGAATTTTTGAAAGATTTGGTTACCTTCTGCGGCATTCTCCCTAAATGTTTCCGTTGGTCGGATAACTGCCATCACTGGTCCGTTTGTCATAATTTCAGTCTGAATTTTTTTAGTGTCATTCAGACTATAGTCATAAGTGATTTCATAAATATGTCTCTTGTCATTTTGGTAGGTATCGTTGTATTCGTCGGAACATGCAGTTTTACATATAATGGGTGCTCTTGCCCACAGTGATCGTACAAGTGTCGCTGCAGATGTAGGTCTGCACCCCTATAATAAACTTTTAGGCATGTGTTCTGTAAATCACATATCAACTATACTTTCTTTGATACCATATCTCCCCCTGACACGACTCCCTCTTCCTGAAGAAATTTTAAAGCTCTGACAAGGTTTCCTCCTGCTTCACAGATATTTCCTAGCTCTGAACCGTGACAATCTGGACAGCATGTCAGTAGATCTTCAGCTGAATATTGAAATGTAATCGTTCCATTAGTGGCAATGCACAGCCTGTCAGTTACTACTTGAGTTAGAGCAAGTGCCTGCAGTATAATTATTTAAAAACACATCTATAGCTTTTCATGTTTTACCCAAGAGAAACCGCAGTCACCTTCGTCTCGAATGGTCTGGATTGATTCACACTCGGGCCATTCGTCTTTTGCGTTAAAATTCTCTGGAACGGACTGTTGCGGGTGGGAAATGATTTTCGCATCAGATAAACCTTTTAGTTCGTTTTGTTCATTCACCGAGAATAGAACTCCTCCCGAAAACGTCGGAGGGGGATCTTCATATTGGCAAATAATTGAGTGTATCAGAAACAATATTAATGCCAATGACACGTTAAATTGAGATCCTGACATGTTTAGAGGGATAACTTGAATAATTATGACAGATCCTCTATGGATTTTGTTTGTGTTTTTTTTTGTTTGCCAGGTTTACTATTTTTAATATACGATTTTAATTATACTGGGCGAACAACGTAATTTGTAATCGAGTCATCCTTAGAACGGGTTAACCGCTGGTGGATTTTTGATGGAGCCAAATTTGCCACCACTGGCCGAAAGGATTTGGGTGTGACTGGTACTGATACCGTTTTTCGGAGTGTCGGTGAATTTTCTTTTGGTCTTGCGGTTTTCCTAATGTCTCCAAGTTGCTGATTTTCTTTTCTTGTCATCATGCTTTTGATCGTTAAGCGTTTGTTGTTTCTTTTTTCTACTTTTATTATGCTATCGCACCCAAATTCTGTGTTTTGACACATAAAAACATTATTTGTTTTTTGGATACCGTTGACTATAGCCACTAGAAAACACACAAATAAAACACAAGAAGGATTCGTGGATAATCTTTCAACGAAAAAAAAAAGATATTACGGGAGTCCAAGATTTCAGATACTTAAAAAATCTAAAATGTTGTGATAACCCAAACATCTCTCCTTAAATTGACATGTAAAGAAAATAAATTAAAAGCCCGCAAAAAATTTAAAAATTCAAAATTTGGCCTTCTCTGACAAAAGGCGGGATGCGTTCAGATGCAAGCGGTGGACCCCAAGGTTGGAAAACTACCGCTAAATAAAACACAAAATTTATGGAGGACACAAAATTATTTATTTCTTCATTTACAAAAGAAAAATTGCGAGGAAATGCCTCGATGATGTAATTTTTAACGTTGCGAGGAAATGCCTCGGTGATGTAATGATGATAAAGATGATAACTGCCTAAGGGAAGAAATTTTGTTAATTTAACTGCCGTAAACGAACTATTAGCAATCTTGTGTGAAAAATTAAGATGTGTTATAATGTAACACTTACGTATTAGCATCCAGAAACTTATTCATAATTAGACAAACAAAGTCAAACGAGTCGTGACTCAGTGAATTTCATGAAATCTCCTAGTAAATGTCTGTTAAATTGTGTTAGAACCAGTTAACGATTAAAATCCTAACCTGATCGGTGAATTAACAAACAATAACACAAACTACAGCACGTGTAGCGTTGCTTGGAAATTAGCACTTTTTTCGATTACAAAGCCACAAGAATTAGCTGCGCGTATTGGGGAAAAGTGTGACGTCATCGTTACGATTAATTTTCGTTGATCAAAGGCTTCCTTTTCACCACGCTCACATAACACCGAACCAAACAATAATGACGCTTTCACCATGCTCTCGCCCTCTAACTAAAAATTCCCTAGCGAGTTACCAACTACCCCGAAGCGCTAACGTGCACATGGTTGCCGATTTTTGACGATTTTGTTTTCAAATTCAAATTATTCAAATGTAATTTCGCGCCGCTGTTAATTAAATTCAGCGCAAAAATTTGATTCAGATTCGGTCACCTCAAAGTCACCAAAATTTTCAATTTTTTTCAAAAATAAAACCCAAGAGGCTTCAAAGACGTTTTCACAAATGAAAAAAAAACACACGAGGGACCCACTAAGATTTCAAAGAGTTAAAAAAACAACAATGTCCGCGAAATTTTCAAAACCTTTCCAAAAATGCAACCCAAGAGGCGTCGAAGATGTTTTTACAAGTGAAAAAACATTAGGTACCCACTAGATGTTTTCAAACTTTTTAAAAAATCGAATGCAAGGGACTCCCAGGTCCTTTTCCAAAAAAATACACTACGGACCCTCAAATTACCTTTAAATATTTTCAAAAATGTTTCGAAAATAAAACACAAAGATTCACGGATAATCTTTCAACTTAAAAAATATATATTAGGGGAGTCCAAGATTTCAAATACTTAAAGAATCAAAAAAGTCACCAAAATTTTCGAAATTTTTTCAAAAATACAACCCAAGAGCCTGCGATGTTTTCACAAATGAAAAAAAAAGTACACTAGGGACCCACTAGATATTTTCAAACTTTTTAAAAAGTCAAATGCGAGATCCCGAAGGTTCTTTTCCAAAAAAAGTCACTACGGATCCTCAAACTTCCTTAAATTATTTTCAAAATTTTTTCAAAAATAAAAAGGCACCGCTTTCGTAAATTGTTCCACATATTTTTTTAATAAAGCACAAAGAATCGTGAAAAATCTTTCAACTTAAAAAAGAGTGATTAGGGGAGCACAAGACTTCAAATACTTAAAAAAAAACAAAATCCCCCAAATTTTCAAATATTTTCCAAAAATAAAACCCTAGAGGCTTCAAAGATGTTTTCACAAATTAAAAAAACACTAGGAACCTACTAGATATTTTCAAACTTTTTTAAAAAATCCAACGCAAGGGGTCCTGAAAGTTTTTTCCAAAAAAAATACAGTACGGACCCTCAAAATCCCTTCAAGTATTTTCAAAAATTTTTCAAAAATAGAACGGCGCCACTCTCACAGATTATTTGATTTTTTTTAATAAAACACAAGTAATCACGAATAATATTTCAACTTATAAAATGGACATTAGGGGAATTCAAAATTTCAAATTCCCAAAATTTTGCCAAACACTTTCAAAGATAAAATACAAAGGGTTCCCGACATTTTTTAAATTCATAACCAGAACTGAATGACCTGACGTAACATTACTTGATTTGGCCTTACACGACCTGATTTGATATGACTTAACATGACCTGGCCTGACACGATCTGACCAGACATAACCTGACTGGATATGACTTGTTCTGACATAATCTAATATGTCCAGATCTACCCTGACATGACCTGACTTGACACGTTCTGACCTGACATATTTGGCCTTGACATGACCCACCTTACAATAAATTGATTTTGCTCTATCGGACGTGACCTGGGTTGATGTGACTTATTCTGTCATGATCCACTATGTCCGCAACTAACCTAACTTGTCATGTTTTAACCTGACATAATTTGGACCTCTCTTAAAGAGTCAAGCTTATCTTAGCAAATACTAACCCCATGTGGTGTGAGTGAAAACCACGTGGTAAGTTAGCTAGGTTAAGTTAATTGGCTTGGTAGTTAATAAAAGTAAGGAAGCCTTTTTTTACGACAATTAAGCGTAACGACGACGATGCCACAGTTTCCCCAACGCGCGGAGCTAATGGAAATAAGCGAATTTTCGACCGACGCTACCACGTGTAGATTTTATTTATTGTTTGTAAATTCACAGTTCATGTTAGGATTTTAATCGTTAACTGGTTCTAACACAAGCCCAACCGTCAGATTGTTTCGATAAAGTACTTGCTAGGAGAGGTGAGGGTGGGTGGCCGGGATTAATTATTGGTTGTTCTGTAGGGTGAGAATGGGAACTAATAGAACCTAGGCAATTAAAAAAGAAAAAAATTCCCTCAGCATTCTGGATGGTCGGACGGCGACGAAATTAGCAGAAATGGATTTTTTTGCATTCTTCACATCATTCTCACACTCGAAAACCCTATAAATAGCAATCGAAATTAGACCTTACCAGTTCAGTTCACTTAGTTCAGTCGATTCGAACATTTAGTGTGGGCGTCTATATAAGACCAGCTCCTCCGTCAAAAAGTCAGTTTTCGTTACCAAGTATATCGTGATCACCGCTTACTTTGAGTGACACAAATCTGTCCGTGATGCTGGACGGCCGTGGATGGTATGTCAAATCTGATTTAACTCACAATGAAATTCTTTCGAGTTAGTGTAACACTTTTAACAAAAACCTCCTTATGGGCATCATTTTATTAATCAATGTGTTCCTAAAACTCCTTTTGTTGGAATGTTTGGACCAAGTATGTGTCTCCGCCGAACAAAAATCTACACCTGGGGGAGCGAGTTTTCCTCCAGATTTTGGAATTCCGAGATCTCCTATCATCGATTTCATCGATCATCCTGATACATCGGTTCCGGACCATTTTGACGTTAGAGACAAGTGGCCAAATTGTGGCTCCTTGTTTGATCAGATTGTGGATCAAGGAAAATGCCAAATGTCTTGGGTAAGTTACAGTTCTTTAAAAAAATAAAAACGTTCAAAGTGTTAAGTAGGTTCCGGCTCTATTATCGACAATGAGCGATAGATTATGCATCCAGAGCAACGGAACAGACATTTTTCAATACTCAGTTGAAGATTTACTGACGTGTTGTTCTACCTGCTTTAACGCAAAACCAAAGAACATCTGTCAAAGTGGATGGATCTTTCGGACTATAAGACATTTGTATTCGAAGGGCTGTGCATCTGGGGAAAACGCAGAATCCAGCAATGTAGGTTTCCTTTTTTTCAAAATCAAGTCATTGAACGACCAACTTTTATTATTACTTTAGTTTCAAGAAAAAAATTTGACCGAGTTTGATGTGCTTAATTTTTTTAACAGTTAAACTCGTCGACACAGAGTGGGGGTTGCAAACCGTTGTCAGAACAAACACGAAACGGAGAACCTCCAGAATGCGAAGATAAATGTAGCAATCCAGAATATAAAACTTCTGACAAGAGATACTGCGGAAGGGCGACGTATCTTTATAATCATCCAGGTATTATAGACACGAAGCAAGTGCAAATAGAAGTTATGAAAAATGGGCCGATGACAATGTTTATAAACGCTACTCCATCTTTCATGAATTACACCGACGGTACGTGTTAACCTCAGGTAGTGAAGACCTAAAAAAGCGCCTATTTTTACAGAGATCTTCGCAGAAGAAACAGATGAGATACTTGGTAGGCCTAATTTTATGCAAGCCGTTCGACTGTTTGGTTGGGGAAATGAAAACGGAACTCCATATTGGCTAATGGCTAATACTTGGGGACGAAACTGGGGAAGGATGGGTGGGTTGTTCAAAATAGCGATGACTGAAAATGTTCTTCACGTAGAAGAGTTTGCTCTTGCACCTTTTCCGAGCAAGAAAGCATCTGCTAAAATTCGTGAAGTTTGTTGCAGTGTTTTCGTACTGAGTGTTTTTATGATGTATGTATTTAAGTAGCTTTTGATTTTAGAAGATTGTGGTTCTAGAAACATCTATTATCGTGTACGTTTACTACGATTAAAATAATAAACTATTTTGTTGACGCAATTTAACTATCAAAGTTAACTAGACGCAATCCAGAATACATTTCCGAAGGATCCGTAAACTTGTTTCATGTTCCAATGATATCCCAAAATGACATTTGGACGGGAATTACAATATTATTTTATTTTCCAAATGTTCCACATGGTAAACTATTTCGAGGCTAAGTGTTAAGCAGTGTCATGAGTAACTAGAGCATAAATTTAAAAAATCGCGCAGTAGTATCTGACGATCAAGGGCATTCATGATAAACGTCAAAACTTTGATGACGGTATAGTTGTTACCAAAACATCTTGGTCCACAATGTAACATGGTGTTACTGGTAGTCCGTTCTCAACATAGTCGTAGTCTATCTTCGTTCTCTTCTTGGTGCAATAGCATTCACATGCCGTTTCATACAAAGCTACATGTTTATCTATCATGTAGCTTTGTATGAAACAGTGCGTAATTGCTTTTCTTCTTCTCCTATTCCACTCTCCCAACTGTGAATGTGGCTCGAACGATTTGCTTGAACAATAGCTTCAAGAATTCAAAGGCAAATTCTGGAATTGAATCTTGGCAATTCGCCCATGATGATTTGATACGACGCTCCTGGATCAGAGAATGTCAAGGGTAAAAAAATGAAAAGGTTTGCATTACCATTACGTCATATTGCCTACTATTAATTTCATTCTTAAGGTAATTTAGTTGTCGCTCTAGCCCCTAGGAACTTACAAAATTAGTTACCAACCTAAAAATAATGTCTATAACTATTGTTTAAAAAAATTGATCCAAAGTTACGTACACATTCCGAAGGGTAATCCGCCGACCATCAAGTGTACAATTGATTTCCTTTTGACAATGATTTCCTGTTGATTTCCCCCGATTTCTTTTGATTTCCTTTTGAATTCCTCAAAATTTGTTTACATAATGTACTACATGGCGATTGTTAACTTTTTTTTAACTTGATTTTTTTGTTTTGCCGATAATGATGTTGAATTTAAACCTTTTTTCACCAAGTGTTTACTAACGTACTGTGACTAGGTAAGCTGAAGTGCTTTCCCTTTAGACGAAAAAAATAAATAAATAAAATGTATTGTGCTGCTAAGCAACAAACTGAAATGTTTAAGAAAAAAATCTGATTTTATTTACAAAAAGAACGCTACTCTAAAATCGAGGTTTTAGATGTCTAAATCAATAGAGTAAGTATACTTTCGAATTTTACACTTTCTTGGGTCAAATGTTTGTTCTAAAAGTGGACATATGCAATATTCTAGATTTTTTGCACATTCAGTCAGAAAACCTTATGGTCTATTTTAATTTTGAAATTAAAAATGTCTGGTGTGTACAAATTAGTTCGTTTAAAACACTCAAAGATTTAATAAATTATACTATGAAATTTTGCTTTTGACTTTACGAAATTAAAAGTACATAGGACCAAGGATATTTTTAGTTACGTCAGCAGTTTTTACTTATCAGTGACTCATAAGGCAACAACGACTGGCTCATACGTTCATTAGATCATGTTAAAGTTTGACCTACTAAATCAAACTTATAATAATAACTTAAGTCATTTCTTTTTAAAAATTGGGTTTATTCATTTATTATGGTAGCATAAACAGAAAAAACAAGTAGTTTCATTTATTTTATTAAATGTTAAAAAAAAAAACGGTAACTCTAAACATAAAAGTAAAGCATTTCTGTTGGATCATAACAAAATATCACAAAATAAAACAACTTCTTAAAATACTTACCCTATAACCTGGATCGAGATTTGTGTATATATTGCAGATGATGTTGAAGTAAAAAACTGTGTTAAATTCTAGCTACCCATAAATACAGATGCACTTTTAATTTTTTGTTCACAACTTTCAAATGAAGCATATTAGAAAAAAAAAATGCAAAATTTAACACGTAAGAATTTTTTTTGCACAATAAAGGAGTGGATAACCCCACTTGATAAATTTTCAGAGGTAATTTTCCCCTTTAAAAGTGTTCATGGGCACCTAGAATTTTGCACAGTTTCTTACTTTAGTATTCTCTACGATATATACTTGTACAAATCTCGACCCAGGTTGAGGTTACATTATCACAAATTTTAATCACATCACTTAAAAAAAAAACTAGAATTAATTCAAATATTTTTTCAATAATTTTTTTTCAAAAACTAAGCTGCCTCTTCTGAGTACCTGAGGTGGAGGTAGTTTCATTATATATTCATTTTCTTGGATCTCCCCCTGATCTTTAATGTCCGGAAACATAAAAGCATCCGGAATTTTTGGATTCCTTTTCAAAAAATCACAAAAAATACGGTTAACTGATAGCACTTTACCAATGTAACATTTTTTGTTTTGTTATTTTGTTTATATTTAAGTCTGGTTTAGAACGATCAGTCTTACTATTTTCAGCCTTGAGATTCAAACGAGGATTCAAATCATCAGAATAATTGGAAGAATTCAAACTTTCGGTGTCCGTGCTGTCATCATATTCGATACTACATACTTGGGTTGTCTAAATCAGATGAGTCACTTTTTTGTATTCCAATTTGGACTGGTTTTTGAATTTGAGATGCATCTTTATGTTGAAGGCAGGTATCTGTTTCTGAGTTAACTCTACTACTATTACATTTCTTATTATGAATAAATCTTTTGAGACGATCCACACTGACGCGATCCTTTTCATTGTCTAACAGCCAGCAAAGTGAAGACTTTTTTATAACTTTTGTTGTATTATCTAAGCGTATTCTGACTAGATTACTTTTCTCGACAAAAATATCGTCACTATCAAAACTTCTAAGGTGTATGTCTCTGTCAAATTTCTTAGATTCGTACGAAATTGTGCAAAGATCATTCAGTAAATCTTCATCTTGGTCAACTGGATCGTTTTCCAAACTTTGAAAACAGTTACGTTTCATGGCTATTTGAGAATTGTTGTAATTTTCAATGTGATCGCACTGTTCTTCACTAAACATTTCATCTTCAACTTCGTCATTGCATTAATTGTCTTTACACGGAGGCAAAAATGCATAGTTGAAATCTATCACTTTCATTCCTAAATCTTCAGTGTCACGCAGACAATCCCGTATAGCTGATTCTACGGTGCTTTGTATATCTTTATCTGAAATGTTTCCTAAGTCATCATTTTTCACAAAATATCTCTCCATGATTGAACTTTTTTTCCTGATTTCTCTAGGAAAAACGAATTTTTTATCCAAATCGTTTTCAATGTTGTTTATAGTTTGCAGTCTGTCACTTCGATGCAACATATCTCTTATACTAAAATTAACAATTGTGCTAAAAGTTGAGGTCATTGATATAAGGCTTCTAAACATACTCTCACAAGTTTGAGAGCTAAACTTCCAAGGCAAGAACATATCATCAGTGAGATTACTTTTTTGAAAAATTTTATTATTTTTATTAATGCGTGTCCATTGAGTTCAACGCATGTGTAGCAATTGGAAGATAAAAAGTTATCTTTTACTGTATACTGTCTTTGGGCCTTAATCCATTTTTTCCATATTCGTAGGAAAAATATGCAATACCAAATGTTATATCTATATCCTTTCTACAATAGATAACGTTTTGTCTAGGAATGCTGCCGGTATAAGATACATTAGTTTCAAATAAGCTGTTGTTCCTGCACTATTGTCAATGTTGTCGGCTATCATTTTTCTTACTTCCGGGCTACACATTTTTTCTGCCGCTGCATAGTTCATTTTGTCTTCTGCTTTCAAATCCGTTATTGTTAGCATATGTTGATCTTTGGTGTAATTTTTTATTAATATTTCATGGTGAGCAACTGTAGCAACGTAATTCCCTAGAGGTAATATTGAGTCTGATTTTAAAAACTTTGTTCTTAACTTTGTGATAATATGTACAGTGTCTTGGACATACGATGTCAGATCGCTGTCACTAAAACCCATTTGGTACCATTCCCAATTATTCAAATGATTTTCGTCGGATGAAATAGGTGGGCGAGAATTTAAACGCATCGCTTTGAGAAGTCGCGTTTTCTTGTTGATTTCCTTTTGATTTCCTTTGATTTCCTGTGATTTCCTCTGATTCCCTTTTTGATTTCCTGTGATTTCCTTTGATTTCCTCTGACCCCAATACCCCAATACGCATTTACAGATTCTTGTTTTTGCTCAACAGTATGGTGACCGAATTTGAATTAAAATTTCGCGCTGAAAAAATTAACAGCGGCGCGAAATCACTTGAATAATTTGAATTAAAAAAAGAAAATCAATAAAAAAATCGTTAAACATAGGCAACCATGTGTACGTTAACGCTTTTGGGGTAGTGGGCAGTTCTGCTTGGAATTTTAGTTAGAGGGTAGTTTGAAGAGGACGGCAGGCTTCACTGTGTGTTGTATGGTGTGAGTGAAAACCACGTGGTAAATTAGCTAGGTGAAGTTAACGGGGTTGGTAGTTAATAAAAGGGAGGAAGCCTTTGTTTAACGACAATTAATCGAAACGACGACGACGACGCCCCAGTCTCCCCAACGCGCGGAGCTAATTCTTGCGGTTTTGTTCGAGCGGAAATAAACGAATTTTCGACCGACGCTACCACGTGTAGATTTTATTCATTGTTTGGAAATTCACAGTTCATGTTAGGATTTTAATCGTTAACAGGTTCTAACACGAGCCTAAGCGTCAGAGATTGTTCCGAGAAAGTACTTGCTAGGAGATTTTTTTGTTTACCAAATTACAAATAACGTTTCTGGATGCTGAAACTTAAGTGTTACACTTCTTAATTCTTCACACAAGATTGCTAATAGTTCATTTACGCCAGTTAAATTAACCTAACGTTGCGCCACTGTGAAAAAAACCGTAGAAACGTGGCAGAATTTAGAATGTCGTGGACTGAGGGATTAATTTTCAACCTTAGGCAGTTATTAACATCGTTACCATAATCACATCACCGAGACACATTTTTCCT